CATTTTATCCACAATCTAATGAGCAAGGTCAATGTCTAAACAACTCAGTTGATCATTTACCAAAGATAACACTTATGATGCCGAATACGCCCACATAGCGTACTTTAGCCTCCCACAACAAAGAAAAGATCAAGGAATATAGGTCATCTGTTTCTCCCAAAGACAATCCGAGGATTCACTCAATAGCTAAGGCTCTGGCTTTTACCGATAGGTAAGTCAATGGGTTTGCAATTTTGCATCTAGAATCATTTTAGGATATTCCTTATGTAAGTCATCGAAGACAAAACAGGAATTCTCCCAAAACAATCCCTAAGGATCGTATATCTGAACATATAAATTATATCACCCATGTCCATCATATCTAAAACAGAGGACTGCCTACCCTAGGTGGCGACAACCCTATAAATTCCTGGCTCATAATGACTAAGTAAGGAAAAACTTCTTCTTGACCATTGATCATGCCTCAGTGGTCTTCATCGATCATCGTTGGCCTATCATGGCTTGATGAAATCTAAGAACCACTATTTGGATAACTGTTTTAGGCTGTAAAAGATTTATTGGAACTAGCAACCTTTTTGCGCTCCTAACTTTTCAACATAAAAGCAGAAGGTAAATCCCTACGGATCTACGTATCCAATTCTCTAACGAGAAAGTTGGGTCATAATGTCCACAAATCAATGTTCCGAACTTATGTCAATCATAGCCTAAGTCAAAATAACCTCACTCCCCAGGAGGAAGTCTTCTCATGGTCTACACTTTCCTCAATGGTGCGACTTTTCGGTATCTAACGAACCTTATGCCTCAAGAATGACTATCCAAATTACGCATAACTTTAAAACAGTTTCGCGTCATAATGAAAAGTCAACCAAATTATAGAAATGGTTAATCCTCAAAGACTTTGTCTTAAACTGCGCAACATTAATCCACTTTCTAAAAACAGGGGACTAGAGCCTTTGGCATTATCCTAGGCTCTTTATCATCTTGCGGAGCAATCATGAATGTTTTCCTCTCAATCACCTAGTGATGACGTGGAAAAAATTTTACAATTGCTACCACGCAACTAAGAATGTAGAGTATTCTTCTCTAACAGATTAATCCATTAGCAGGCACATCGCTCCCACTGTCCCTAGGATATTGGAAATTTCTTTCCATTCTCAACTAGGCTACATAATGCGCTATGCTTAGAATTCTCTATCTTATAGAGTTCCAAAAACTCTATTCACGTCACCTTTACTAAGAAAACTTTATGTGACTTAGTTACACCACCACAAAGCTACTTACCTACATGCACATGACCCGGAGGGTTTACATGACAGCATACAATAATGCGCTACATAACCCTATGTGTATACAAGACAGCATACAATAATGCGCTATAGAACCCTAGGTCTTAACTTCGCAACCTTATGAGAAGTAAAATAAGGATAAGCTGCTTTGATAGTTACAATTCGCCCACAAATGGCTCTCTGCTAACCCATTACTTAAATGGAGTGTAAAATCTGATATGAAGGGCACTTAGTTAAGGATATAGGCAACAAACTAAAGTGCAATTCCCAATTAGGAAACATTTTTGCGCCATCATCCACCTAACATTAACAATACTTAATTCCTTATCTCTACTACACCATTGTGTTGTTAAGTACTAGGAATAATCAATTTTCCAAGCATCCATTTCACTTCACAGAGCTTTCTAAAAAAAACTCAAATAGATACTCGCCGCCTTGGTCAAAACTAAAAGCACAGAGGCTCTTATCTAATTGATCTCGACCTCGTATGTGCAATGTTAAAAATCATCTCAAAACTTTTGACTTATGAGAGATCAAATAGTCTTGACTCAGATGCGTATCGTAATCTATATATGTGTCAAGATTGAGGCTTAGCTGTCATACCCTTACACATATCTAGTCACAAAAATCATAGTGGACTAAATGTGCCAATACAAATGACCTTCTACGGCTTTCCTACTTACTTGTGCGCAACCATTGCGAACAAAGTTACACATTCACATGAGAGCAGGATGCCATAAGCGAGTGGGCCTGAGAAGGCCTACTCAAACCATCGTGTCATCATCTCATTAATGTGATTAAGTATAATAAGCCACCGGTTCATGACCAATGTCACAAACTAATTCCAATCATCTTAATGTGTGAGTTCTCGAAGACAAGTTTTAAAGGTTTAGGCCTAATTAGGTAATGACTAATTCATATTCACTAGATCGTAAAAGGATGTCATGGAGATATCAAGTGCGCCTAAGTCACAAATTTAACTAGTAAGTGCTAATCCCTTGCACTTTCAAGTTAATTTTATTCTCCATACACTTTACTGCATCTAATTGAAAGATGACGATACTCCTCTTGTCATCTCTGTTTCTCGCTTCATAGTTACTTGCAATTAAGTCTACTATCCACAAGAAGGAGAGAATAAGCTATCAATCTATGATAGCTCCTGAAGTAACTTACGTGCGAATTAGGCTAAAGAGTCTAATTCAACACAATGCTCTCACAAGCGATGCGCCAAATTCTTAGAGTCATAACAACCTTGTCAGCCTTGACATTTTCATTATTATGCTGCAACGTTTGCGCTTAGTGGTAAACGTTATTCAAAAACGTTAGTCTAGCTAAGGAATCATACAAAGAAGCCCCTCCTCATGTCTCACACTCAAGTGTGAAAACAGTAAGTGTCCAGACTTAGACAAGTTGGCAATGCAAATAGATTTTGCAGCCACTAACCGCTAATCTTTTCACTTAGTATTAATAGATTTTACAGCTTCTAAGCGCTAATCTTTTCACTTAGTGTTAATAGATTTTACAGCTTCTAAGCGCTAATCTTTTCACTTAGTGTTAATAGATTTTACAGCTTCTAAGCGCTAATCTTTTCACTTAGTGTTAATAGATTTTACAGCTTCTAAGCGCTAATCTTTTCACTTAGTGTTAATAGATTTTACAGCTTCTAAGCGCTAATCTTTTCACTTAGTGTTAATAGATTTTACAGCTTCTAAGCGCTAATCTTTTCACTTAGTGTTAATAGATTTTACAGCTTCTAAGCGCTAATCTTTTCACTTAGTGTTAATAGATTTTACAGCTTCTAAGCGCTAATCTTTTCACTTAGTGTTAATAGATTTTACAGCTTCTAAGCGCTAATCTTTTCACTTAGTGTTAATAGATTTTACAGCTTCTAAGCGCTAATCTTTTCACTTAGTGTTAATAGATTTTACAGCTTCTAAGCGCTAATCTTTTCACTTAGTGTTAATAGATTTTACAGCTTCTAAGCGCTAATCTTTTCACTTAGTGTTAATAGATTTTACAGCTTCTAAGCGCTAATCTTTTCACTTAGTGTTAATAGATTTTACAGCTTCTAAGCGCTAATCTTTTCACTTAGTGTTAATAGATTTTACAGCTTCTAAGCGCTAATCTTTTCACTTAGTGTTAATAGATTTTACAGCTTCTAAGCGCTAATCTTTTCACTTAGTGTTAATAGATTTTACAGCTTCTAAGCGCTAATCTTTTCACTTAGTGTTAATAGATTTTACAGCTTCTAAGTTTTTTTTGAAATTTTCTACATCATTCTGAAATTTTCTGGAATTTTTTCTGAAATTTTCTGGAATTCTAAATAACTAATAAACACACATAAAATTAGAAATAAAAATTTCAGAATCTGATAAACTAAAAAAAAATACCAGTAAATAGTAAAACATTTCAGAAGTCTACAATAAAAATTTCAACCCTAGAAAATTATTCATGCAATACCAGAAGCATTTTAAAGCATAAATAATGAATTATTCTCACAGAAAAAATAATTTTTATTTTCATAAAAATTTCAAAATTTTACAAAACATGAAAAATTTAATTCTGAGTCTAACGGTACCAACCACGCATAAAACAAATCTATAACGAATTAATTATGACCATTTAACGTGATTTAGAATTTAAAACAGAACAAACAGTGCCTTAGTACCGCCAGCCAAGCCACGGAAAAAAACGACGCGGCTCAATGCGCGGCTCAGTGCACGGCGCGCGCGTGGACAGCGCCGCTGATGCGCGCATGGCAGCGTGTGCAAGCGCATGTAAGCCGTTCACGGCGTCAGGTGGCACGTGTGGACCACGTGCCGCCTTCTAGGGTGTTTTTTGGTCCAATTTCGATACTGTCAGACTCTTTTTTCCAAAATAAAATCATTTGTGGTATTAAAAATGACATTAATGAACATAAAAATAGGATTTTTTATGCTCTTAATCTAATGAGAGTTGACATTTTCATCATTTATAAATATTCATGTATATAATGTGTATATATATATATATATATATATAAATATACACTTGATTAAAGAAAACACGAAAATACCCATTCAAGCTCTGATACCAATGTGAAACAAAGTATAACGCATCTACTGAAAAGTTTTCATAGTCATACCTTTTCAGTAGAGTCTGAAGTGAAGGATCTCGTGGGTAAATCACGTGCTTCTAGGGAGTGAACAACCAACCCAGCAGTGGAGTGATATTACAAAATGAATATTACCCACACAAATCACAGTGCAAAATGGCTTGATCGTTGTTTTTGAGAGAGAGACAGTATATAGGAAAAAACATAAAAAACATACGTTGTTTTTCTCTTAATCATCCATATCCCATATCATATCAGATACATAGGATAATATCTCATCTATCCATATCAGTTGATATGATAGACATGGATATCCTGAGTGGTTATCCAAATAAGTTTTGAATTCAAATTCAAATTCAAATTCAAATTCAAATTCAAATTCAAATTTACATAGATAAGGTTCAAAAGGTTCAGGTTCAAAAAGTTCAAAGGGTCATGTCACATGAGCGTCCAATTTCTAACAATAATTATGAGTCTCATACAATTAAGTTATGACATTTGTTATGACATTTGTGATAATCAAACCTACAAATGTCGTAACTTACATATTTTGAGAAAAGAAGATCAATCAAAACAAAATTCAAATGAAAATTTAAGAATAAAAAATATTATCCAATAAATAAATAAACAATCCCGCAATTTTAACATTAAACGTAAGAAATTCGTGAGCATGTAATTAAAGGAACACTGTGTAGAGCACATCACACACCATTATTATCACAAAAGATGTTTGCAATCCAAATGCAGGTCATAATCACAAACAAACAGCATGTTTATTGACCCGGAAAATGGAATCAGAAAAGAAAAGATTTTGTGCTTTTCTGGGAGATAGGCTTTTATCAATCCAAAATCTACCTACTGATATGAGCAACGAAAGAGTCCAACTCCATGCGAGAAACGCCACCTTCCGCGACTGCTTCCCGCACGGCTCCGCCTAATTCCGCCGCCCTCTTCCTAATATTGTCTCCTTCCTCCGAACCCATCAATCTCTTCACCACCTCTGCAACCATTGTCGCCGTAACCAACTCCTCTCGACGGCCCCAATCCTTTAAAACCACACCAACTTTTAAAAATTTGGTCACGAGCACAGTGTTCCTTGGCTGGTCCGAGTGCATTGGCCAAGCCAAGATTGGAACTCCCATAGAAAGACTCTCCATACATGAATTCCAACCACAGTGACTCACAAACCCACCTGTTGATGGGTGACCCAGAATTTCCAACTGTGGCGCCCACTCTCCCACCACCATGCCTCTCCCTTTTACTCTCTCTTCATACCCTTTTGGCAGCTCAGCTCTCCTCACTTCTCCAACAAACACATCTCCTTTGTCAGCTTCTCTGAGTACCCAAATGAATTTGTGACCACTCTGTTCTAACCCGACTGCGAGCTCTCTGATCTGTTCATCGGTGAAAGAGGTGGTGGTTCCGAAAGAAACGTATATCACTGAGTTTGGAGGTTGTTTGTCAAGCCACTTCAAACATTCATGGCGTTGATTGGTGTTTGTGCTGTGCTGTATTGCCACGGGATTGAATGGTCCAATGGCCCAGTGTTTCTTGCCTTTGCTGATCTGTTCCTTTGCAAGCAAATTGAGGTACGGACCTGTTGGGTTGGGATTTTAGACGCCAAAGCAATTACAAACATATCACAAAATAAATAGGTAAATTACTCCATTAGTCTTTATAATTTAAGAATCAGTGAATTATTAGTTATTATAATTTTAATTTCAACAATTTGATTCTTGTACTTCTAATTTAATTACAATTTGATCCATCTATCACTTATTGTGACAAAAAATAACATGTATAAAACTAGAGGGATTAAAATAGAATTTAAACACCAAAGCAATTACAAACATATGACAAAATAAATAGGTAAATTACATTATTAGCCCTTATAATTTAAGAATCAGTGAATTATTAGTTATTATAATTTTAATTTCAACAATTTGATTCTTGTACTTCTAATTTAATTACAATTTGATCCATCTATCACTTATTGTCACAAAAAATAACATGTATAAAACTAGAGGGATTAAAATAGAATTTAAAACAAATTACAAAGACGACCAGTATAATGTTACACTTTAGACTCTTTAGTTTTGCACATGATTTGTTTTGGTTTAAAATGTTACAATGGATAATAGAGGGATCAGATTGTAACAAAATTAAAACTATAAGCACAAAATTAAATTACGAGACCCAAAATAAGGTTTTAAAGGACCTAATTTACCCAAATAAATATATGAAAAATATGAGTCAAGAAATTAATGAAGACCTTCAATTGCTTTGCTGGTGTTGTAAAGATAGCCAGAGCTGTACTTTTGGTAATCAACTTGGTTGCTAAGGAATCTCTCAAACTCAGCAGTGAAACACCCTTCCAATGAAGGAACGTCTTTGAGTATCTCGGCATCAATTGCAAACGGCCTTTCCATGGCTTCCCAAGTGTATAAAAAGAGAGTAAAAGCCGACACACTACGAAAAACGTAAGACTCAGCGTTTGGTATCGACGCCACATCTTGAACCACAGAAGCCATCAAAGAATCATGAATAACAACGACTCTTCGAGCAGAGGCAGAGAGTGTTCGTAGAAATGCCCCGACCGGCTCGCGAAGCTGCGTCGAGGCGTCGAAGGAAGGTTGGAGGTGAGAGGGGAATTTAATGGAGGCATTTGGGTTGGGTGGAGGAGAGAGAAAATGAGGGGTTGAGAAATCATGAAAATGGATGTTGTTGTTGTTGTTGTTGGTTGATGAAATGGGGTCCCAACCGTGGACTCGAAGCTTGGCTTGGCGGTTGTGGGCTGCGCAGCCAACGTAGTGGATGGGGATGTGGTGGTGGTAGGAGGAGGAGGAGAGGAGGCGTGAGAGTTGGAGGAGTTGGTTGAGATGGCCTTGTGCTGGAAATGGTACCATCACCACCACAACTTGGTGTTGTTCTAGGGCATTTTGGCCATGGTTGTGGTTTTTCGCCATTGAAATGGACCCATGCTTCAACATTGTCTTTGGGCACATACATATTTATAAGACATGAGTTAGAGATGGGTAATTATTCTAGTTTGAAAAAAATAAAAATTATTTTTAACATTTTTTTGACATAATTTAATTAATTTCTTAAAATTTTAATTTGCATAATTGTTAAATTATAAATACACCCTATAAAATTTGTTTAAATTCGATTTTAAAAATTACATCCCACCCTTGAAATTTTAATTTCATAACAAATAGTCCATTTTATTAATAAATAATCAAAACAGTTAGCAGTTTTTAACGATGCCAGAAATTTATTTCAATTAATAATTCAAAAAAAAATTATTATTTTATAGGAAAGCAATTAGAAATTTAATGAAAAATTTTGACAATGGTAAATTCGTAATTTTTCAAACCACAGTTGACAATTTGTATTTTAAGCAAACCTCAATTGGTATATTTGTAATTTATTCTATTTTTAATAGTAATTTGTTAGTCTGATGAATGAAAAATGATATTGTCATATCTTTTTTATTAAAATATATTTTTATTTTTATTTTTATTTATTTCAATGTTTGCCTGCCACATATATTAGTTGCAGTTACTTCTATCTTGTTTGGGTGCCTTCTAAAATAGCATATTATTGTCTTTTTGTCTTTCTTTTCTTAATCATATCACCTATCTACATTTTTGCCCATCTTTTTTATAAAAGGTCAAAAAGTTACTTAAATAACTTATTCATAAACAACCCTTTAAAAATAAAATAAAATTAGAATCCAATGTAAGTATGTCAAAAGAGAGAGATTAATTGCATTTTTCTCAATATAGACGATTCGAACTCATTTGGGCTCCACTTTATTGATCTAAACTGTTTATTATTTAATGCCTTTTGAGTAAATTATTTATAAAAAAAATTAAATTGATTGAATATCGATAATTATATGTTTACATCACATTTTTTATATATATAAAAAATACAACAAATATAATTATAAAAATACGATTTTCATTTGTTTAAGAAAAATATGATCAAAATATATAATTATTGATATCCGAATAATATAATTTTTATTTTTTATAAATGACTTATTTGAGAAGTACTAAAAAAATAAAATAAAATAAAAATTTAATGTTTTATATCAACAACCCGAGGTCGGCTCAAATGGCCTAAATTGTACTCTCTAATTCAAAATGTAGACGGGAGGGAACCCCTCGAAAATAATATATACCTCATTTATATTTATTGGTTAGAAGTTACGAAATTTATAATTATTGTTTATAATTCCTATAACATTATTACATATTTTTTATATAAATGTTTTAGGATAAATTATAAATACACATTTTGAAATTTGTTTCAAATATAAATTGTCCCCTGTAATTTTAGAAATTACATCACATCCTTTAAAATTTCTAATTTCATAACAAATGACCAATTTTATCAATAAATTATCAAATCAATTAACAGATTTTAATAATGTTAGAAATATATTTCAATGAATAAGTCAGCTAATTTTATTATTATATAGGAGAATATGTAGATACTTCATTTTTAAAATTAATTTTGTTAAATAAAAAATTCTTAAAGAGGGTATTTGTAATTTTAAAAATTATAAAGAACAATTCGTATTTTAAATAAATCTCAATGGTATATTTGTAATTTATTTAATTTTTTATTATAAAATTTTGTTACATTTCACTTTACCCCATTGTCCTCATTTTCATATTTTCATGGAGTAAATTGCACATTAAATAAAGCATAGAGGGTTAAAGTGTATTTTATCTTCCAAATAAATGATGAAAATATTTATAGTTCATACACCTAGGTTGCTTATGTATAGGGGTATTTTAATATTTTTTATTAAATCGGTAACGGGCCAAACAATATATTTCAGTGCACAAACGACAAAGAGATTATGTGATTATTTTCAAATGAAAAGAGTTAATGTGGATAAGAGCCAAACTGGAAGGGATAAAGTAAAGTTTGTCTTAAAAAATTTAATTGTTACGTCTATATATTCTTGGTTATTCTATTTTTTTTTATATAATTATGACTAATTTTTTGTTTTAATTATGATATTATTTTAATTATTACTCATAAAATTTTTAATTATGCCCCATATAATAATTTGTTATAATTTTGTAATTATAACTCAAAAAATATAAAATTATATCATATATTTTTAAATTATAAAATATATATGGTACGTACTATTTTGTAGATTATGTAAGTGATGACGACAATAATGAATCCAAAGTAATTTGTCGTGTTGTTGTTTTGTATTCAACGATATGCCGTACTTCATTCTTCTATCTTTCCTATTATATTATATTTTCTCTTGTTCTGGATAAGATCACATACTGGGTCATGCCGAATTGGGATGGCTGCTGTGTCCCTTTCACAATAGTTATTGTTGGGCTCATTTTAGAATTTATTTTTAATAATTTAAATTACTTATATTTTAAAATATATTAAGTAAAATTTATTTTAAAAAAATTAAGTTAATCGAATATCGTTAATCATTTTATTTATTTATATTTAACGTATGCCCGTGCCTAAAGATACGGTGTAAATAATGTTGTGATCAAAATACAGTTATAAATTATACGTATCATATTAAAATTTATAAAGTCTATAATATTTTTTGACAAAAATATTGAAAAAATATAAAGAAATACTATTCTTTTTAAAAAATTGTAAAATTGTACTTGCATCACACGCTTTCTAAAACTTGAATAAAATAACAACGAAATAACCCCAAACTCCGGTGATGCAGCCCATAGAGATGCACCGAAATATTCTCACTACAGGCAAACAAATAATTATTTTATTGTTTATATCAATTGATATATATAATACTACCAAATAAATAATTATTATGTTGTTTAAGAATTTTAATTTAGCAGTTTGTCCAACAAACAATAAAAGCTAAATAAATTAAGATTCTAAAAGTAATAATAATAATAAATACAGTATTGTAATTTCCCAAAAGTCATGAAATTTTCAAACCCACTTCCCTGGTTGGTAGTGGGTCACCCAAAGCTCTTTTTTTTCTTTTCATTTTTTGTTTCTCTAAACTTCACTCTCTATCACCTTTCTTGCTTGCTTTTTCCATCCAGCCAATGACATTTTGGACTCGTAGTCTTCATTTTGATTAACCAATTTGTAGAGCTTTTAAAGTTTACAACATGTTGAAAGTGTTCAAAAAGTTTAACTATCCTGGGCAATAGCCAAAGATGCTAACACCTTCAGATTTTAACACCTTCAAACTACTGATTTATGAGCTGATAAATAATACAAATCTAATTTATGGTGAGTTTGATTAGTTTTAAGTATGAGTTTCTAACCAGGCAAGTCCCTAGGCTTGGTTTGGAGGTTAAAAAATGTATCACACATAAGTGATGTGTCACCTAGTGTATATCCGTGTCTAAATTAACTAGCGGTAACCCGTGTGATGCACAGAAAAATAGACTATATATATTTTGTGTGATAAATAAATCATCTTAATCTTAAATTATATCTTAATAGTGACAAGCCATAATATTAAGCCATCTAGGTAGATGTTAACAATAATTAACTCACAAAATTTTACAATAAAATTTGATATGCATAAGAAATTATTAATTATAAAAATTGTTGAGAATAATAGTATCACAATCACTTGATAATATAAATAACTTGTATCAAACTAAACTAAACAAAACATTAAAAGAGAGAAATTCTATAAGTTGCTCAGTTCCCTCTCTCTAATCAAACTCTCTTCTTGCAGGCTATCCAAAAATAACACCTTGTGATGGAGCGGATTCACAGACTCCGGCAAAAGGCGACCGACTCTGCCAACTAAGTCGAGCATCTGCAGAGGGAGCTAGGACAGTCAAAGGCCTCTTTGGAGATTGCCATGAAAAAAACTTATCAAATAAATCATTAATTGATCATGTTAGTAACTTTCTATCTTTGATCTCCTCTACCAATGATACATGCATATCATATCAAATAAATCTTTTTCCATAATCATTTTCTCCATAGCTTGAATAATACTTGCATAGTTTTTATAACATTTAAAAAAAATAAATCAAGAAAAGATCTTCATAGGACTATAAAAAATTATATAAAAAAATAGCTTTAATTCATTTTATTTATAAAATGAAATGATGAAAAACTATTTGAATTGGACTTGAAGAAATATAACAATGATTAGCTTTAATCATTATATACCCAAAAAAAAAAAATTATATCGGTTACTCAACGAAAAAATGGTCAAATACAAATAGAGTCATGAACATTGAATTAAATCATATGGCTCTAAATTGATAGTATAATCTAGCAAATCAACTAATAATAACATAGAGATATTGACAAATATGTAGTATTTCCCTATCATCTTTGTATTATATTCATTAATTTCATATATTATATGAAAGTTTTATTCGTCTCGATCCTTCAATAAAATAAGGATCCAGAAAACAAAATTGATAAGAAATTGATTCTAAACTTAATATTGAAAAAGCAAAAATTTCAAAGAGAGAATTTGGAGATGGAATTGAAGAAATATATAACAAATGACAGCCTTATAAAAAAATTAAAAAAAAAACATAATAATGATCTAATGCAAATTATTTTTAATAACTAATAGAAAGAATCTCAAATTATTACCTTTATAAAATATAGTGAAGAAAATTAATTTTATGAGATTTTTGTGCTACCTTCTCCCATGTAGCCTTTATTATTTCATTATTAATACTATTCTCATTCAGAGCGATAATTTTTTTTTTTTTATAATCTTTATCATTTGGTAGATAATAACGAATAATAAAAATTATCAAGAGAAGGTTAAGAATTTAATAGAAGATAAGAAGTTATAGATAAGAGCATTTCATAAGATAAAAAATTTAAAATAAAAAAAGATAATATGTGATAGGAGAAAAAAAAATGAGTAAATCAAAATAAAGATTTAGATATATATGTTTTTGATAGATATATAGATTAACAAATCATATCTTTATCTAAATTTTATTATTTTAATTTTTTGAAAAT